GAATGGCATTTACTTCCTTCATCATCAGCAGCAGCGCTTAGCAGGCAAAGTGAACGCCATGAATTACTTATATTACGTGAGAGTGTGTGTGTTTGTGTTGGAGAGCGGTCGGGTCGATTGCAAGTCTAAACATTCCATCAGTGGCTGATGATTGTCAGTCGCTCTTGTCTTCTTCGTCTGCAAAAATTATGAGTGGAATAATACATTTTGGGGGGCGAAAATTAAAGCACTTTGTCGGAGAGAATTTGCATTGCAAGCAGTGGCTGTGCACAGCTCTTCTTCTTCTTGGCTTTTAGGGCCAGGTATGGAAATGTTGAACTATAAAACTTTTACTGCACATTTAAATATTTAAGAAAATTCTTTCTGGAGAAAATTCTGGAGGTTTTTAATGGTTGAAGACTTACTGAGGGTCTTATATGGGTATGAATGATTGAAGAGAAGACATTCTGGAGACCACCTATGCATGGATACATTTTTCGGGTCCTTCTGTGGGTAAAAGACTTTCTACAGAACTTCTAGAAAGGAGATCTTCTAAGGCTAGTTCATGGCTTGAAGACATTCTGTAGGTTTTTTTATGAAAAAAAAAATCCTGAACCCCATCTACTAATTGGAGAATTTTTATGGGGCTTCTATGGATAGGAGAACCTTTATTAATGAAGTTTTAATTGGAGACCTTCTGGGGGGCTTCTATGGATAGGAAAACCTATATTGATGGACTTTTTCAAGACGAGCTACTGGGGCGATTTCCGGCATAAAATATTTTCACGGGGCCTTTGATATATAGTAGACTTTTTAAGGTTATTCGTCTGAAGATCTTCTATCAATTGGAAATCCTATGTGGGCTTATTCTAAATAAAATAAATTCGGATAAGAAAATTTTGCAAGATCTTCTAAAGATAACAAATTTACTGAATACTTTGGGTAGTTTTTATACCCTCCACCATACTATGGAGGGTATATTAATTTTGTCATTCCGTTTGTAACTCCTCGAAATATTCATGTCAGACCCAACAAAGTATATATATTCTTGATCAGCGTAAAATTCTAAGACGATTTAGCCATGTCCGTCTGTCTGTCTGTGTGTCTGTCTATCTGTCTGTCCGTCTGTCTGTCTGTTGTAATCACGCTATCTTTCGAACAAATTGAGATAGAAGGCTAAAATTTTGCACACATGTATTTTTTCCCAGTAGGCAGGTTAAGTTCGTAAATGGGCCATGTAGGTCCAAGTTATCATATAGCCCCCATATAACGGTACCTCCCGATATTCGGTATTTTGATGATTTTAGCGACATTATTCACCGGAATTATTTCAAATTTGGCATTTGAAGTTTGTAATGGATGCTACAGCCTAAGACAGAAAATTATATGTGCAGGTCCACGTCTTCCTGTAGCCCCCATATAACGGTACCCCCCGATATTCGGTTTTTTGATGATTTTAGCGACACTGTTTACCGGAATCGTTTCAAATTTGGTATTTGAAGTTCGTAATGGATACTACATCCAAAATCAAAAAATGAGCCATGTAGGTCCACGTCTTCATATAGTCCCCATATAACGGTACCCCCTGATATTCGGTATTTTGATGATTTTAGCGACATTGTTTACCGGAATCGTTTCAAATTTGGTATTTGAAGTTCGTAATGGATACTTCATCCAAAGTCAAAGAATGAGCCATGTAGGTCCACGTCTTCATATAGCCCCCATATAACGGTACCCCCCGATATTCGGTATTTTAATGATTTTAGCGACGTTATTTAAAGGATTGTTTCAAATTTCGTATGTGAAGTTCGTAATGGATACTTCAGCCCATGCCAGAAAATTGTCTGTGCAGGTCCACGTCTTCGTGTAGCCCCCATATAACGGTACCCCCCATATTCGGTATTTTGACGATTTTAGCTACATTATAAACATATTTTTCTTCAAGTTTCGCATTTAAATATTGTAATAATTTATGACAAAAGTTGCCTATGCAGGCCCACGTCGTCGCATAAGCATTCGGTATTTTTAAGATTTTAACAGAATTTTTAACGGGTTTTATTTTTTGGAAATTGCCAAATTTGTACCAAATGGTGGAGGGTATTAAAAGTTCGGCCCGGCCGAACTTACAGCTTTTTTACTTGTTTTAGATAGAGTATCACCTGGGGTTTTACTCTGAACAGAATACCTTATAGATGCCCTCTATGAATAAATTACATCCTGTAGGTCTATTTTTGATAAAACTTTTCTTTCTTGAATATGATGCCTTCTGGTGGTCTTCTCATTATAGGAGCTTCACTATGAATGGATGACCTCCAGAATCTCCTCCTTTTAATAAAATAAAATCGGGGGCCTTCTGCTGATATAAAACTTATGTAGGTCTTTCATAGGTATTATATTTAAATAAGATCAGAAGGTATTATATTTAAATAAGAACAAAGAAGGTTCAAAGTTCTTTGAAAAGAATACCTTCTGGAGGCCGTCTATAGATAGAAGAAGTAGCTCGACGCATTCAGTGGATGGATGTTTAGATACAAAACTTCGCGAGGTTTTTTATAGAAGTCCTGCTGGCAGTTTTCTATTGATAAAAAACATTCTGGAGCCCTCCTTTCGAAAGAAAGCCTTCTTGGACTCCTTTATGGATAGGATAGGTTTTTTATATATAGGAAATCTTCTGGAGGCCTTCTATCAATAGACGATCACTTAGATATCTCTTTTTGATAAGACAATTTCTGCTGGCCTTCTATGGATATACAAAGTTCTGGAGGCTTTCTTTGCATATGATACCTTCTGTGGGTCTTCTTTGACTGGGATTCTATCTGAAGGCCTAAAAATACCTTCCGGAGACCTTCTTTGGATCGAAAAATAGCTCGACGTATTCCGTTGATGGACGTTGAGATAGAAGACATCCCGAGGCCTTTTAAGAGCAGAAGTTCTTGTTGGCGGTCTTCTATTGATAAAATAATTTCTGGAGCTTTTCTTTAGAAAGGAAACCTTAATGAGCTCTTCTAGAGATTGGAGACCCTCTGGAAGTTTTTTACGTATAGCAGAACTTCTGTAGGCTTTCTATGTATAGGTGATCGCCTGGAGATATTCTTTGATAAGACAAATTCTGGTGGCCTTCTAGGGATATTAAAACTTTTGGATGCCTTCCATGAATATGGTACCTTCTGTGTGTCTTCTTTGACCTTCAACCGATAGAGAACATTTTAGAAGAAGATACATAGAAGAATTTCATACACAGAAGATTTGCTGGTGGTCTTCTGTGGATGGCGCTTAGATAGAAGACATTTTGCAGGCCTTTTATTCATAAAATACCCTCTGGAGGCCTACTATGGATATAAAACATTCTTGGTTTATCCTATGGATAGGAGACACTCTGGAGGTCCTTGGATGTATATAATATCTTCTGGGGGTCGTCTGTGGAAAGAATACCTTGCAGAGTCCTTGGATGTACATCATATCTTCTGAAGAGGCGCTTCGGGATGTCTCTATAGATGCCCTTAAGGATGTATCTTTAGACGCCCAGAAGGATATCTTCGCAGACTCCTCCAAGGACGTATATGTAGACGCCCTTACGGATGACTCTATTCATACCCTTTGGGCTGTCTCTATAGATGCCTTCAGGGCTGCCTCTTTCGAGACACCCTTAAGGCTGTCTTTATAGACGTCCTTAAATCTATTTATATAGACGTCCTAAGGGCTCTCCCTATAGGACGAACATAAGGGTGTCTCCATAGACTCGCTTGGGGATGTCGCTTTAGACGCCCTTATGGCTGTCTCTATAGACGCCATTAGGGTTGCCTCTATAGTGTCCCTTAGGGCTGTCTCTACAGACGCCCTAAAGGCTATAGCCGCTATAGCAATCCTTAAGGATGTATGCGCCACAGAAAGACTCCTGTCTCTATAGACGGCCTTAAGGCTGTCTCTATAGGCGGCCTGAAGACTGTCTCTATAGGCGGCCTGAAGACTGTCTCTATAGACGGCCTTAAGACTGTCTCTATAGACGGCCTTAAGGCTGTCTCTATAGGCGGCCTTAAGGCTGTCTCTATAGGCGGCTCTATAGGCTGTCTCTATAGGCGGCTCTATAGGCCGTCTCTATAGACGCCCTTAGGGCTGTCTCTATAGACGACCTTAGGGCTATGTCTATAGACCCCCTTAGGGTTGTTTCTAAAGACGCCCATAGGGCTGTCTCTATAGATTTCATTATATATGTCTCTATAGACGCCCTAAGGGCTATCTCTATAGTCGCCCTTAGGGCTGTCTCTATAGACGCCCTTAGGGCTGTCTCTATATACGCCCTTAGTGCTGTCTCTATAGACGCCCTTAGGGCTATCTCTATAGACGCCCATAGGGCTTAGGGCTGTCTCTCAAGACGCCCCTAGGGCTGTCTCTACAGACGCTTTTATGGCTGTCTCTACAGACGCCCTTAGGGCTGTCTCTATACAATCCCTTGAAAATTCCTCCACAGAAGCCCTTAGGAATGACTCTGCAGGCAATCTTGGAAATATCTCGTTGAATTGTCATCTTTTGGTTTTCCATCCCTGCTTGTGGCACTGTCTTCTCCTCACCTCAGCCATTTTCCCATCTGTCTCTTCACCATAACAAATGACCAAAAATTTGGAAATTTTTGGTAAAATGTCAGTAAGTGTGTTTGTGTGTCAATTACTGCTGTCATAATATTAGCCACTTACAGAGACAGTAGTCACAACAACAACAACCAAGCGATTAGCCAGCTTTGGTTGTATTACGTCGACGAAACGTTTAACATAATAATTTATAAACGAAATTGTATGACACAGTTTTGAGTGAGTAGCATGAGTTCGCACATGTGTGTGTGTGTGTGCGCGCGCTCGCTTGACTGATAACGATTGAATGCACGTTTAGGCCATCTCCAAAATGTCTTAAGCAACGTTATGTCGTCGCCACTAGTTTAAGCATTCACATTTTTTTTTTATTTTTTTTTTGTTTATTATTTCAAAACAAATTGTTCACTTCAATAAAATATAAAATCTAAATACCCATCGAGAAGTATAAACAGTTGCCAAAATCCATTCAAACGTAACGTAGCCATTTTTCGCTTGTCCGGTTGCCATTGCATTAACACCTCCATATTTCGTGAAACGAGAAAAGGATACAACATCATTATGTTTGCCCAACGTCGTCATTCATCTTCCGGTCGCATGGCCTTCAGTTCCGTTGCCGTCGTTGTCTTGTGCTGCCTGGCCGTTGCAGCTGAGGCTCAACTGGCCTTCCACACGGATGCCAATACCAATTCGTTTACTTTGAAAACACCCGGATTACAACAAAGTTTCACACGTTATTTTGGTGGACAAGGTGCTAACTTGCAACAACAACAGCAGCAACAACTCCAACAATATCAACAACCACAACAAGCCCAGGTAAGTTGCTGGTGTTCTCCTCCGTTTGTGTTTACCCGTGTCCGTGACAAAACAAGGATATTCAACGATTGTCATCCTCCAACAATGCATTAAGCCACCATCCTGTGTGTGAGTGTATGTTTGGGGGTCATTTGCCATATGGCTTCATTAGAACAGGGAATTAATGGGAGTCGATTGTTGTTCTATGGAAATTTCCCATTATGACCTTATCAAAGGGGGCGGTTAAATATTGCGGAGAAGCCATAAGGATGCACCATAAATGTTAAGAGAATTTCATTTGAGATGGCATCAGAGGTTGGGTAAGGAAAAAGGGATATAAAGGCTAGATGATTGGAAGCCAGGAAACATTAAAGAGAATTCAATGCAAGAAATCTTAATAATGTCTTCTGAGACGGTCATAAGGCTGTCTTTAGATATCTTAATAGTGGAGTAAAAGACAGTCTATATAGACACTTTCAAGGATGTCTTTAGATGATTTTAAAGATCTCTCAATAGACGCTTTTAAGGCTTCCTATTTAGCTACCCTCAAGGCTGTCTCTGTTGACGCCCTTAAGGCGTAGACGTCCTAATGGTTCTCTCTATATATGCCCTTAAGGCTGTCTCAGTAGACGCCCTTAAGATGGTCTTAAGGCTGTCGCTATAGACTTCCTTAAGGTTATCTCTATAGACGTCCTTAAGGTTGTCTCTATAGATGACGGTAAGGATACCTCTCAAGACGCTCATAAGGCTGTCTTTCTAAATATCTACAAAGCGGTCCCTATAAAAACTCTCTACTTGAAGATGGCTCTGTAGAGGCTCTGAAAGATCTCTTCACTCAAGCCATAATGGATGTTTCTTAAAACGCCCTTAAGGGTGTCTCTAAAGAGAGTCTCTATAGACAGGTTCAAGGAGCAGTAAATCTCTATAGACCAGCTGAGGCGCAGGGAGTCTCTATAGAAGAGCTGAGGCGCAGTGAGTCTCTATAGACGTGCTCAGGCTCAGGGAGTCTCTATAAACGATTTGAGTCTCTATAGACGAGCTGAGGTGCAGTGAGTCTCTATAGACGAGCTGAAGGCGCAGTGAGTCTCTATAGACGAGCTGAAGGCGCAGTGAGTCTCTATAGACGAGCTGAAGGCGCAGTGAGTCTCTATAGACGAGCTGAAGGCGCAGTGAGTCTCTATAGACGAGCTGAAGGCGCAGTGAGTCTCTATAGACGAGCTGAAGGCGCAGTGAGTCTCTATAGACGAGCTGAAGGCGCAGTGAGTCTCTATAGACGAGCTGAAGGCGCAGTGAGTCTCTATAGACGAGCTGAAGGCGCAGTGAGTCTCTATAGACGAGCTGAAGGCGCAGTGAGTCTCTATAGACGAGCTGAAGGCGCAGTGAGTCTCTATAGACGAGCTGAAGGCGCAGTGAGTCTCTATAGACGAGCTGAAGGCGCAGTGAGTCTCTATAGACGAGCTGAAGGCGCAGTGAGTCTCTATAGACGAGCTGAAGGCGCAGTGAGTCTCTATAGACGAGCTGAAGGCGCAGTGAGTCTCTATAGACGAGCTGAAGGCGCAGTGAGTCTCTATAGACGAGCTGAAGGCGCAGTGAGTCTCTATAGACGAGCTGAAGGCGCAGTGAGTCTCTATAGACGAGCTGAAGGCGCAGTGAGTCTCTATAGACGAGCTGAAGGCGCAGTGAGTCTCTATAGACGAGCTGAAGGCGCAGTGAGTCTCTATAGACGAGCTGAAGGCGCAGTGAGTCTCTATAGACAAGCTGAAGGCGCAGTGAGTCTCTATAGACAAGCTGAAGGCGCAGTGAGTGTCTATAGACGAGCTGAAGGCGCAGTGAGTCTCTATAGACGAGCTGAGGCGCAGGGAGTCCCTACAGACGAGCTGAGGCGCAGGGAGTCTCTATAGACGAACTGAGGCACAGGGAGTCTCGATAGACGAGCTGCAGTGATATAAATATGCAATGAATCTGTATATACGAGCAGGCGTCAGGGTTTCCTATGAACCATCTTAAATTTCTGAGTCAGAGACGAGTGGAAGCTCTGGGAGTCGCTATAGACGAGCTGAAGTCAGGTTCTCCCAATGAACGAGCTGATGGCAGGGAGTCTCTATGAACGAGTTAAATTGAGTTTTTGAGTTAGAGACGACTCAAAGCCCAGGCATTATATATAGAGGAACTGAAGTTCAGGGAGTCTCTGTAGGGGGTCTGAAGCGCAGGGAGTCGCTATAGACGAGCTGAGGCGTATGTATTCTCTATAGACGAGTTGAGGCTCAGGGAGTCTCTATCGACGAGTTGAGGAGCAGCGAGTCTCTATAGACGAGCTAGGCCGCAGAGACTTTCTAAAGATAATCTGGAGTGCTTATACATTGCTACTTCACTCCAGATTGTATTTAGAGACTCCCCGCGCCTCAGCTCGCCTATAGAGACGCCCTGAGCTGCAGATCCCCTATAGAGACTCCATGTGCCACAAATCGTCGATAGAGAACCCCTACGCCTCACCTTAAGTCTGTCGTTGTGGGAATGTGTTGTGGTTTTTTCATGTGCTTGGTAATGGCAGAACGGTAATGCATGCCTGTCTGGTTTTGGTACTATTTTGTTTCAACTTTTTTTTTTGTTTTTCAAACAAATCATATTTAAATTTCAATAGAGAGTGCATGTCTTTATTTTTATTCTACGCTTCCCATCTGCATGTCATCATATCGCATGTTATTTATATACGCAAAATATTTTCATATAACGCTTTTATGTCATCCGCCAACTCATCATAAACAATGGAACGCTTACGTCTATCATCCCCATCCGACGAAGAATCACTGTCCGAACTTGAACGTTTCTTCTTCTTGATGGCATCACCAAAACCCACTTCCATGTCATTTTTCCATTTGGTACCAAATACCTCGACCGTCTTGTCATAACGAGCCGCGGCACCATTGTCAAATGCCTCTTTGACTTGGGCTGCAGCCATGATGACACCGGTTTGGAGATCCTTAAATAATTTTTTTTTTCAAGAATTTTCAATTAAAATTAAATGATTTGAATGTTTTTTAATATTTATTTACCTGGGGCCTGGTTTCTGTTACGGCCAAAAGAGCCAAGGTTATGGTCACAACACACAGTATTTTCATCATCCTTTGCTTTTTCGTTTTTTGCTTGGCTTTAATTTTTTATTTATATTGTTATTAAATTATTTATGATTTATTTTAAAATTTGCTTGCCTTTCCTAATGCATGTTTGTGCATGAATTGCTTATATTTGCAAAACTAAAATATTTATTTAATTCTATTTTGTTTTTATTTAGTTTTAGTTGGTACTGGAACGTTGCTTGTTTTGCTTTCACTTCACTGCATCATTCATTTTCCATTGCCACAACACCTACCAGATTTATTATCTATCTTAGTTTTATTTTATTATTAATCTTTTTTAGTTAATTATTTTTGTACATGTCAGAAAATATACAAAACAGTTAGTAATGTATATAATTTGTTAACAACATTTGGACGGGGCAAACTAGTTTAATTACGCAGTTAGATTTCTGGAATTTTAATGTCAAACGGATTTTCAATATCAAAGGGTTGGGAAAAATAGCCAAAAAGACAAAATCTTTAGCAAGGGTTTGTCTAGGAAGCCTTAAGAGAGGAGGTGGAGCGCAGGGAGTCTTTATAGACGAGCTGGAGTGCAGGGAGTCTTTATAGGCGAGCTGACCCTCAGGCAGTCTTTATAGGCGAGCTGGAACGCAGGGAGTCTTTATAGACGAGCTGCAGCGCAGGGAGTCTTTATAGACGAGCTGGAGCGCAGGGAATCTTTATAGACGAGCTGGAGCGCAGGGAGTCCTTGTAGGCGAGCTGGAGCGCAGGGAGTCTTTGTAGGCGAGCTGGAGCGCAGGGAGTCTCTATAGACGAGCTGGAGCGCAGAAAGTCTCGATAGACGAGCTGGAGCGCAGGTAGTCTCTATAGACGAGCTGGAGCGCAGGTAGTCTCTATAGACGAGCTGAAGCGCAGGGAGTCTCTATAGACGAGCTGAAGCGCAGGGAGTCTCTATAGACGAGCTGGAGCGCAGAAAGTCTCGATAGACGAGCTGGAGCGCAGAAAGTCTCGATAGACGAGCCGAAGTCTCTATAGGCGAGCTGAAGTCTCTATAGGCGAGCTGAAGTCTCTATAGGCGAGCTGAAGTCTCTACAGGCGAGCTGAAGTCTCTATAGGCGAGCTGAAGTCTCTATAGGCGAGCTGAAGTCTCTATAGGCGAGCTGAAGTCTCTATAGGCGAGCTGAAGTCTCTATAGGCGAGCTGAAGTCTCTATAGGCGAGCTGAAGTCTCTATAGGCGAGCTGAAGTCTCTATAGGCGAGCTGAAGTCTCTATAGGCGAGCTGAAGTCTCTATAGGCGAGCTGAAGTCTCTATAGGCGAGCTGAAGTCTCTATAGGCGAGTTGAAGTCTCTATAGGCGAGCTGAAGTCTCTATAGGCGAGCTGAAGTCTCTATAGGCGAGCTGAAGTCTCTATAGGCGAGCTGAAGTCTCTATAGGCGAGCTGAAGTCTCTATAGGCGAGCTGAAGTCTCTATAGGCGAGCTGAAGTCTCTATAGGCGAGCTGAAGTCTCTATAGGCGAGCTGAAGCGTAGGGAGTCTTTTTGGACAAGCTGAAGGCTGTCTTTATAGACGAGCTGAAGGCTGTCTTTATGGATTTTTTTTCATTCTTATGTGACTTTTTCTAATTGCTTTCCTTTTTCCACTAAAAGAAACACAAAAAATTGGGGAACTAGGGATTTTCTAACATGCGCATGTATTTGATTATTTTGATTACACTTCGAATACTCTGATAAAAATTTTGAAACCATTTAAGAATAACAATTTCCAATTTAATAATATAAATCATTAATGAATTCTACAGTCGATCGTTTGCGTCTTGATTTCTCCTCATCTTGTTGGGCGCCATTATCGTCCTTTTGAGGTGAAGTGGGTGCAGATGGTGTTGGTGGCACTGGTGGCGACATCATGACATTTTGAGGCAATGACTAAGGATAGGTGATTAATTAAAAATAAAAATAATTTTCACAATTTTAAATTGGGAATAATTGGGACTTACCTCTGGCATGGCCTCAACTTGGGTCATTATGCCCAAAACTACCAAACAAATGGCTCCAATGAAAATAACAGATTTTTGCATTTTATTAGGTTAACTTTTACACTTTTCAAACTGAAGTGATTTTGAAAGCTATTTTTTGAAAATATTTATAGTGGAATTGTTAAGTAATGTTTCATAGAAATTTTACCAACCTCCGACCGATCAACAATATGCATTTCAGATCTGTTAAATCTTCAAAGAAACCCATAATTTTAGTAATCAAGTATCACTGATATTTGCAGAGAGAACAAATGAGCTCTAAAGACAGTAATTAAATATTTTTCAATATTGCTGATTGTATTGAAATCAGCGAGAACAAAAAAGCTCGCACCTATTATTAGAGGAGAAAATATGAAACAAATAATGAACTCCACCATAACAGGAAAAATACTTGAAATTAAATGGATGAAATTTTTTTTAGAAGGTCGTGAAATAATTTTAAAATCTATTTTTTATGGCGGACGAAAGGGGTTTTAAAGACGTGAGGGAGTCTCTATAGACGAGTTAAAGTCAGCTGGAGTCTCTATAGACCAGCTGAAGTCAGCTGGATTCTCTATAGACCAGCTGAAGTCAGCTGGAGTCTCTATAGACAGCTGAAGTCAGCTGGAGTCTCTATAGACCAGCTGGAGTCTCTATAGACCAGCTGAAGTCAGCTGGAGTCTCTATAGACCAGCTGGAGTCTCTATAGACCAGCTGAAGTCAGTTGGAGTCTCTATAGACGAGCTGAAATTAGCTGGAGTCTCTATAGACGAGCTGAAATTAGCTGAAGTCTCTATAGACAAGCTGAAGTCTCTATAGGCGAGCTGAAGGCTCAGTGAGTCTCCATAGACGAGCTGAAGGCTCAGTGAGTCTCCATAGACGAGCTGAAGGCTCAGTGAGTCTCCATAGACGAGCTGAAGGCTCAGTGAGTCTCCATAGACGAGCTGAAGGCTCAGTGAGTCTCCATAGACGAGCTGAAGGCTCAGTGAGTCTCCATAGACGACGCTCCGGGAGTCTCTATAGACGAGCTGACGCTCAGGGAATCTCTATTGACGCTCAGGGAATCTCTACGGACGAGCTGAAGCGCAGGGAGTCTCTATATGTCAGTTGAACTTAGCTGGAGTCTTTACAGGAGAGCTGAAGTCAGCTGCAGTCTTTATAGGCGAGCTGAAGTCAGCTGGAGTCTTTATAGGCGAGCTGAAGTCAGTTGGAGTCTTTAAAAGCGAGCTGAAGTCAGCTGGAGCCTATATAGGCGAGTTGAAGTCTCTATAGGCGAGTTGAAGTCTCTATAGGCGAGCTGAAGTCTCTATAGGCGAGCTGAAGTCTCTACAGGCGAGCTGAAGTCTCTATAGACGAGCTGAAGTCTCTATAGACGAGCTAAAGTCTCTATAGGCGAGCTGAAGTCTCTATAGGCGAGCTGAAGTCTCTATAGGCGAGCTGAAGTCTTTTGTAGACCAGCTGGAGCGTAGGGAGATTTTTTAGACGAGCTGAAGGCTGTCTTTAATGCCGTTTTTTTATTTTCACATTTATGAGAATTTTTCCAATTGCTGTCCTTTTTCCAATAAAGGAAACTCAAACATTTGAGGGAACTAGGGATTTTCTAACATGCGCATGTATTTGATTATTTTGATTACACTTCGAATATTCTGATACAAATTTTGAAACTATTTAAGAATAAAAATTTCCAATTTAATAATATAAATCATTAATGAATTCTACAGTCGATCGTTTGCGTCTTGATTTCTCCTCACCTTCTTGGGCGTCATTATCGTCCTTTTGAGGTGAAGTGGGTGCAGATGGTGTTGGTGGCACTGGTGGCGACATCATGACATTTTGAGGCAATGACTAAGGATAGGTGATAATTTAAAAATAAAAATAATTTTCACAATTTTAAATTGGGAATAATTGAGACTTACCTCTGGCATGGCCTCAACCTGGGTCATCATGCCCAAAACTACCAAGCAAATGGCTCCAAAGAAAATAACTGATTTTTGCATTATGTTAGGTTAACTTTTACACTTTTCGAATGGAATTGATTTTGGAAATTAATTTTCAAAAATATTTATAGCAGAATTGTTCACTGACGTTTCATAGAAATTCGATCAAAATTCAGATCTGTAAAGTCTTCAAAGAAACCCATAATTTTAGTTATCAAATATCATCGATATTTGCAAAGAGAACAAATGAGGTCTAAAGATAGTAATTAAATATTTTTCAATATTGCTGATTGTTGATTAAAATCAGCGAGAACAAAATAACTAGCATCTGATATTAGAGGAGGAAATATAAAACAAAAAATTAAGTCCATCATAACAGGAGAAATACTTGAAATTAAGTAGATAAAATGTTGTTTCGAAGGTTGTGAATTAATTATAGAATATATTTTTAAAGCAGACGAAATGATTTTTTATAGGCGTCCGAGCTGAAGGGAGTCTCTATATACGAGCTGAAGCTCGGGGAGTCTCTATAGACGAGTTAAAGTCGGCTGGAGTCTCTATGTACGAGCTTAAGCTCAGGTAATCTCTATAGATGAACTGAAGTTCAGGGAGTCTCTATAGACGGACTGAAGTTAACTGGAGTCTCTATAAACGAGCTGAGGTCAGCTCGAGTCTTTACAGACGAGCTGCAGTTAGCTCGAGTCTTTATAGACGAGCTGGAGTGTCTAAATGCGAGCTGAAGTCAGCTGGAGTCTCTATAGACGATTTGAAGTCGGCTGGAGTCTTTATAGACGAGCTGGAGTCTCTAAATGCGGGCTGAAGTCAGCTAGAGTTACTATAGACGAGCTGAAGTCAGCTGTAGTCTCTATAGATGATCTGAAGTCAGCTGGAGTCTCTATAGACGAGCTGAAGCTCTACAGACGAGTTGAAATCAGCTAGAGTCACTATAGACGAGCTGAAGCTCAGGGAGTCTATATAGACGAGCTGATGTCAGCTGGAGTCTCTATAGACGAGCTGAAGTCAGCTGGAGTCTCTATAGACGAGCTGAAGTCAGCTGGAGTCTCTATAGACGAGCTGAAGTCGGCTGGAGTTTTTATAGACGAGCTGGAGTGTCACTATAGACGAGCTGAAGCTCAGGGAGTCTACATAGACGAGCTGATGTCAGCTGGAGTCTCTATAGACGAGCTGAAGTCAGCTGGAGTCTCTATAGACGAGCTGAAGTCAGCTGGAGTCTCTATAGACGAGCTGAAGTCAGCTGGAGTCTCTATAGACAAGCTGCAGTCTCTATAGACAAGCTGCAGTCTCTATAGACGAGCTGCAGTCTCTATAGACGAGCTGCAGTCTCTATAGACGAGCTGCAGTCTCTATAGACGAGCTGCAGTCTCTATAGACGAGCTGCAGTCTCTATAGACGAGCTGCAGTCTCTATAGACGAGCTGCAGTCTCTATAGACGAGCTGCAGTCTCTATAGACGAGCTGCAGTCTCTATAGACGAGCTGCAGTCTCTATAGACGAGCTGCAGTCTCTATAGACGAGCTGAAGTCTCTATAGACGAGCTGCTGTCGCTATAGACGAGCTGCTGTCGCTATAGACGAGCTGAAGTCTCTATAGATGAGCTGGGGTCTGTATAGACGAGCTGAAGTCTCTATAAACGAGCTGGAATCTCTATAGACGAGGCTGAGGTATCTTCTATAGGCGAGGCTGACGTCTCTTATATAGACGAGGCTGAAGTCTCTTCTATAGGCGAGGCTGTAGTCTCTTCCATAGACGAGCTGATATCTCTTCCATAGAAGAGCTGAAGTCTTTTTACTCCGTTTACGTTACGTTTTTGTTTTTGTATCGACAAGCCGAAGAGGAGTCTTCATGTAGAGTATCCGTGAATCTCAATTTCAACCAATTTGTTTGAAAAATATGGAAACTATATGGGGACGGCATCAAAATTTTTTTTATATTTAAATTTTCTGATGGAGAACTCTGAGAACTTGAAACCTCAAAGTAGAACTTATTTAATTGGCAATGAACCTGAAACCATTAAAATAATTTAGATCAGAGAGGACATTTATATGAGAGAAGACAAATAATGGACACACACTGAATTTTTTTTAGCAAAGGGAGATTTTACCCATTGAATACCAGAAATGTAGTTTGAAATTTGTGACTGAAATCGATGAAATATAAAAAATCGGGGTGTTTAAACTATACACAGGATGTAAAGGAGAAATTCAAATTTGAGTAGAAGCTAATAAAACTTATTCTCTAAGAAGCCTTTGTGATTGCTTTCATTAGATTCAGGATACTTTTTTATTCTTTACATTTCATTTTGCAACAAATTATTATTTTAATCTGACAAGTGTCACAGGACCTTCCTCACTCAAATCACTTCAAAAGACTCACTGCTTAAGGAAATGCCAAAGAATAGTCGTCTGATGAATATTCCCTATAGACATAATCCGATGAGAAATAATCCGCATCAGAGGGCTTTAGTTGTACTATATCTTCTGAAGACATTTCCTGCAACGAATCACTGGCATATAAATACATTTTTAAATTAGGAAAAAAAATCCAGTTTACCTCTGAGCTGCTCTCAACAATGGAAGTCACAAGCAGCAAGAAAATGTATGTTATTACAAAAATCCAAAAAAGTTTTAACATATTGAAAAAAAAATTGAAATTTTTCAATAAAATTTGTTTGGAAAAATAGGCAACGGGATTTAACGAAACCGTAAGCATGAATTGTTTGTTATAAAATGTTGAAATATTTTCTATTTATATATTTGTGTAATCCATGCAATGGATTTCATGATTGTGCTTAATAAACTTTTGCTATTCAATTCACTAATGGGAAATTAAACGCTATTGGGATTTACGTTGGTTAACCCTTATGTAACTTTAGAAAGTTTTCATACCTCATTTGCACTTCTGAATTCTTTATTATCATATCATTTCTATAGTGTATGACAATTAAATAAACATATAACCCATTATTAACATATTCTTAAATAGAACAGTGTTGACATATTTGTTCGGTTCAGGGGGTAAGGCAGGGAATACCTAGGATTCGAAAAGAGACACCAATCCTCATCAGTTTAATTTTTTTGTCTGGGATATTCTCCCCAGGGGACCAAAAACAAACGAGGAAACTGATGATGATGGATGGCTCTTTCCGAAACCTAGGCATTCCCTGCCATACACCCTGGTAAAAAATATTGTCTTTCTTCACCTATTTTTTTAAAAAAATAACAATAAGCCTGGCAACTTTGCAATAACACAATATTCTTATATTTAAATGTTGCACGTGAAAACCAAATGTGTCCATCTGGAATGTAGCTTTTTCCAATACCTCGTTTCGGTATATGAAAACCCCCAGAGAATAACTTGAAATAAAAGAAAATCACAATTCCATGTTAATTAAGCTGTATCCGAAAGTCCGTCCGTCCGCCCGTCCGTCTTTTGAAATCATCATAGAATTGGCACCATTAAAGAAAGAACTTTGATGCTTTGCTCAGTCCTTGCTATTATTCTTAGATTGGTTGGTATTGAACATACTACATTCGGTCCACGCTTTGGTTTAGCCATATAATGGTACCTCAGGTTTTTGGCATTTCGGAAACATAGGTCCCAATTTTCAACTAAATCAGCTGTAAATTGGTATTTCGGATTCCCAACCAACAGATAAATTCCTCTAAAACATTTTTAATCTAGGTCTACTTTTTGATATAGCCCCCCATGCGGCGATTTGTCCTAAAATCCTGCATTTTGAAGGTTTCAACTTGGGTTGGAAATTTATATTCAATATGCCTAATGTTTCGAGTTTTTTGTAGGTAGGCAAACTCCTCTCCTCTGCAATATACAGGGTGAGATAAAAAAACTGCAACAAACTCAAACGCCATCATTTTTAAATTTTTTTTTAATTTTTATTGAATGAAAGCAAAAAATGTCGGAAATATCATCAAATTTAAGAATAAGTTTAGATTTGTTCGAATTGGTTACCTGTGGCACGAATTATGGCCTTCAAACGGCAAATGAAACCGTCACACTCTGCCCAAATGTTGCTCTGCTGTATTTTGGCCCATTTCCGGAGAAACGCTTGCTTGAGGTGACCGACACTTTGGTATTTTTTTAGTGCCAACCTTGCTTTTCAAAATGCTCCAGACACAATAGTACAACGGATTGGTATCTGGAGATTTTGGTGGCCATTGTACACTGGAAATTAAGCGAGGAACCTCATTTTGTAACCATTCTTGGGTGGCGCAAGCTGATTGCGATTGTGCAGAGTCCTGTTGGAATTCCCAAGGTCTGCGGCCAAAATGTTTGCGTCCCCAAGGCTTTAATACACCCTCTAGAATATTTTCGCGATAATATTCGGTATTTATTCTGATGTCACGGTTAATTAATACGAACGGAGAGCGACCATCGACTGTTATTACCATCACCATGGCCGGCGCTTGAGTTCTGTAGTAGGATTCTCTAACTCATTTTTTGTGTTACTGACAAAAATCGGTAACTTTGAGACCCAACATTTTGATATAAAAAGAAGTTAAAATTGAAAACATTGATATCAACCGGTAGGTCTTATCGGCTGCTTAGATTTCGTCGCTAACTTACCGACAAATGTCGCAAATTACGGCAATTATAAGCAATTTAATTTTAGCGACTTTTGTCGGTAACTCACAAAGTTGGTTTGAGAATTTCATTACTGGTGGCCAACCGAAGGTGCACATTTTCAGCTGATCTCTTTGGCAAGTAAACACGATCATGTTGTTTGTTTACAAACTGCTGGACAACGAATGTTTTCTCATCGGAGACGAAGAAAACAAAATTCGACAGGTCACCACTTTCGACCAAGCGAAGCAACTATTTAGCTCTTTTGAGTCTATCTTCTTTCTGTTGCGGTGTAAGTTCTTGCACTTTTCGGAATTTCAATGGCTTTACCCCGACCTCATTTTTCAATATTTTTGCGAATGGAATATTGCGATATATTCAGCTCACGAGCCATTTTTCGACCACTGCGACGCGGGTTTCGAGCAAGTCGTTTCTTTACTTTTCGAACCATTTCTGCTGATGTTACTGTTTTCTTCCGTCCACTTCCTTTACGTCGGCCTAGACTACCAGAATCACGAAATCGGTAACGAGCAATAGTACGAGATACAAACGATTTATTCACATTTAAATGCTGGAGGGCTCTAACAATAGCCACTTGTGGTTTTCCAGCCAAATATAAAGAAATCTCACTATCACGCTTGAATTCCATGACGAATAACTTTTTTTCTGGAAAATTCTCACCAAAATGCATTTGTGCGCTTGTAAACAATATAATGATCTATCACTGGAATAATTTTAACACCTGTCGGACGAGTGGCTTAGAAATGACAGCAGTCTGAAATTTGTTGGAGTTTTTCCATCTCACCCAAGGACTCTCCAAAAATGTGATATTGGTGTCCGATTTTCTTTAAATTCGCATAGCCCATCATAAAATCTGTCATGAAGGTGTGTCGATCCCCCCATTGTTTTACCTTCACCACAAAGGGTTGAAATCTTAAATAACCATACCTCTAATAAAATACGAAATTATTTCCCAGTTATTTTAAAAATACGAACAATATTTCTACATCTTGTTTTAATATGGGGTATGAAGGCCCAGTCTTTATGATACCTTCCCCGAAAAGGGCCAACCCTGTCCACTAAAAGTCGATAAATAAGTAATTTTTATTCGGCTTTTAGGGCCCAAAAAAATAATTATTTTATGCTACCCAATTGGAAACCTCACTTTTTATTAGTATTTCTGCTGGGTGAGCAAATATCGCTCGCTTATAATTGAGCTTTCGAACTAAAAGCTGGAAACATGCCATAATAATCTTCAAGGTTTTTTTTTTTGAGCTTGAAAAAAAAATTGTTATCCAAAAACGTCTTATCAGTTTTTTATACCATCCACCATACATAGTATGGAGGGTATATTAAGTTCGTCATTCCGTTTGTAATTTATCGAAATAATCATTTTAGATCCAACAAAGTATATATATTCTTGATCAGCGTAAAATTCTAATTGTCTGTCTGTCGGAATTGTCTGATAATCCACACAAGGAGTTCCTTGTAGGTACTTTATCCCTTGGAAGAGAATTATCTATTTAGGTCCGCAATATCGTATAGCCCCCATATAACAGTACCCCCCGATATTCGGTGTTTTGATGATTTTACCCACATTTTTCAACGGAATTATCTGAAAATCCACACAAGGAGTTCCTTGTAGGTACTTTATCCCTTGGAAGAGAATTATCTATTTAGGTCCGCAATATCGTATAGCCCCCATATAACGGTACCCCCCGATATTCGGTGTTTTGATGATTTTACCCACATTTTTCAACGGAATTATCTGAAAATCCACACAAGGGGTACATTGTGGGTAATTTATACCTCAGAAGAGAATTATATATATAGGTCCACGATATCGTATAGCCCCCATATAACGGTACCCCCCGATATTCGGTATTCTGATGATGATTTTACCCACATTTTTCAACGGAGTTATCTGAAAATCCACACAAGGAGTACTTTGTGGGTACTTTATACCTCGGAAGAGAATTATCTATATAGGTCCACGATATCGTATGGCCCCCATATAACGGTACCCCCGATATTCGGTGTTTTTATGATTTTAGCCATATTTTCCTATGGTATTGTCTGAAAATCCACACAAGGAGTTCATTGTGAGCACTTTAACCCCTGAAAAGTAATTGTCTATATAGGTCCACAATATCCTATATCCCCCCATAAAGATCCTTCCGATATTGGATATTTTAAAGATTTTAACAGAATTTTTAATGGATTTTATTTTTTGAAAATTTTCTAATACGTTCAAAATGGTGAGTATTTAAAGTTCGGCCCGGCCGAACTTACTGCTTTTTTACTTGTTCTTTTTGAAGTTTTTGGCATTATATGAATCGTAGATCAAAGAACCACTCTCAAATGTGCGTTCCTTTGCATGAATCAACATTTATTCAAAACCGCTTCAAAAACCTTTTTTCAAATGCAAAACATATTTTATTTTATTATTACACAATTCAAACTAATTATACAATGACTTAGCTTGATGTATCAAATTTTCGAAAGAAACCGATCGTTTGCGTCTTGACTCCTCGCCATTTGAATCCGAGGATTCACTGCTGCTCGAAGAGCTACCGCTGCTGTCGGATGAAGTCTCATTTGATGAGGATTGTTCATTAACTTCCTTGGGCATTGGCGAATACATGAGGGTCTCCGAGGGTAATTCCTTTTTACAAAAAAAAAAGAAAGCATTCGAATTTCTCTCTCAATAAAATAATAATACAGAAAAAGCTTACCTGTAGCCTAGCTTCACTTTGGTAGACCATGCCCAACAATACCACCATGCAGACGGCAACAATAACAAACACGGATTTCACCATTTTTGCAAATGTTAGTTTTACAACAATTTACTGGAAATTGATTATTGGGTTTTTCGTTTCAAAGATTTTATAGGAAAATATTATGAAATTTCCAATGCGCATCGCATCGCTATCTGTAATGGCGGCTATTCATCATCATTTTTTATGAGAAGATAAGGAGAGAATAGCTGTCTGGATATTATGCAATTATTATAATTATTGTATAATTATTTATGAGTGTGTACAATGTCATTTAATTATATATTTGCATTTTATTATGAATTTCCAAAATAAATGAAATTAAATGTGAATGTTATTACATATGAGAGGAAATGGGCAAATGTATTGGTTATTTTGATTATTTTCGCCAAATTTTCCAATTGAAATTTTACGCAAGAAGCTATTTGTAAGTACTTTACCCTGAAATAGAATTGCCTATATAGGTCCATGATATCTTATAACACCATATAATTATATATTACATAACAACATAATTTTGACAATACAGGGTGAGATAAAAAAAAAACTGCATACATTTTTTTTTAATTTTTTTTTTTTTTTTGAATGAAAGCAAAAAATTTAGAAAATAGCATCAAAATTTAGAATATGTTTAGATTTGTTCGAATTGGTCACCTTTGGCACGAATTATGGCCTTCAAGCGGCCAATGCAACAGTCACACGCTGCCCGAATGTTGCTCTGAGGTATTTTAGCTCATTCCCGGCGAAGCGCTTGCTTCGGGTGGCCGATACATTGGTATTTTTTAGTGCCAACCTTGCTTTCCAAAATACTCCAGACACAATAGACCAACGGATTGGAAATGAAGCGAGGAACCTCATTTTGTAACCATCTTTGGGTGGCGCGTGCTGAGTGCATTGGTGCTGAGTTCTGTTAGAATGTTCAACGTATGCGGCCAAAATGTTTATGTGCTCAAGACTCTAATACACCCTCCAGAATATTTTCGCGATAATATTCGGCATTTATGGACAACGAATTTTTTCTCATCGGAGAAACCCAAATTCCGCAGTTCACTACTTTCGACCAAGCGAAGCAACTTTTTGGCTCTTTTGAGTCTATTTTCTTTCTGTAGCAGTGTAAGTTTTTGCTCTTTTTTGGATTTTCAATGGCTTTACCCCGAGCTCATTTTTATATCCTACATCACAAGGTGGTCAGGGTATTATGTCTTTGTGCATTTGTCTTTAACAGGCAAAAAGAAACGAGATAGACCCATAGTTCCTTTTGATGATCTGCATAGAATCACATTCTGAGTCGATTTATGCATGTCCTTCCGTCCGTCTGTCCATGTATTTTTGTAAACAAAGTACAGTTCGCATTTATTGCCCTATCCAGATGAAATTTTGCACAAATTCTTTGTTTGGCCCAAGGACGAACTCTATTGAAATTGGAGATAATCGGTCAAAATTTAGATATAGCTCCCATATATATCTTCGTCCGATTTGCTTTTTATTGTGCACCAAACGTGTAATATCAGTCCGAATTTTGCACGTACGATCAGATTGGACCTGAAAATAAGTATGCCAAATTTGATCGAAATCGGTTCAGATATAGCTATAGCTCCCATATATATTGTTCATCCGATTTGTTATTTTTGTCCTCCCCAGCCGTAATATGCACTCTCTAACAACAATATTTGGGGAAATATATCAAATACAGCTCAGAAATACATTTGCTATATTTTATCGAGATCGGTTCCGATTTGGATATAGCTCCCACATATAACTTCGTCCGATATTTGCCCAAATTGGATGAAATTTGGCACTTACGACCGAATTGAGTCTAGAAGCTGGTAGAAGCCGTAACAACGATATTCAGGGAAATATATCAAATACAGCTCAGAAATATCTTTGCCAAATTTTATCGAGATCGGTTCCGATTTGGATATAGTTCCCATATATATTTTATATCCGATTTTAAATTAATTGTGCACCAAATGGGCAATTCAAGTCCGAATTTAAAAGATACAAATGCTTCGACATATTTAGTCCTTTGAACTTTAAATTATAATAATAATCATAGCGTGTATGATTGAATTCTCCCATAAAAACTTTTAATTGTTATGCGCAGCTCTGCTAAATTAGCAATGTGGTGTAGGGTATCATAAAGTCGGCCCTGCCCGACTTTAAGACATTCTTTACTGGTTTATATCTGCCGAATGGAATATTGCGATATGTTCAGCTCACGAGTAATTTTTCGGCCAATGTGAAGCGGGTTTTGCTTCGATCAAGTCGCTTCTTTACTTTTCGAACCATTTCTGCTGATGTTGCTGTTTTCTTCCGTCCACTTCCTTGACGTCGGGCTACGCTACCAGCATCACGGTAACGAGTGATGGTACGAGACACAAAAGATTTATTCACATTTAAATGCTGGTGTGCTCTAACGATAGCCACTTGAGGTTTTCCAGCCAAATATAAAGAAATCACACTATCACGCTCGAATTCCAAAACGAATAATTTTTTTTCTGGAAAATTCTCACCAAAATGCTTTTGTGCGCATGTAAACAATATAATGAGCTGCCGCTGGAGTAATTTTAACAGCTGTCGGACAATTGGGTTAGAAATGACGGCAGTCTGAAATTGGTTGCAGTTTTTTAATTTCACACTGTATTAGCGGCATTATTCACCGGAATTGTTTCAAATTTCGTATTTAAAGTTCGTAATGGGTTTTACAGCCGATGACAAAAAATTACTTTTAAAGGACCACGTCTTCCTATAGCCCCCATATAAACGTCTTCCTTTGAGCAATATTTTTTGACGGAATTTTTTGGAAATTTTTCGAGTTCCTTCAAAATGGTAGAGGGTATTAAAAGTTCGGCCCGTCCAAAATCAACTTATTTTTTACTTGTTTTTGTTGAATTATGGTCTTCAATGGACTCGTATTATATACGATATATTAATTATTCATATATTTTTCGCAATTATCTCATTCGATTTCGTAAAAATTCTGGTCAAATATATAATCTGGCAAAAGTGTAAAAAATAATTTCGGCTGTCCCAAATTTAGATACCAAATTTTTAACATTCCCCAGAAAAATTTGGCTGAAATAATCAAAAATACCGAATATCGGGCAAAACCGTTATATGGAAGCTATAGGAGACCGTGGATAAATATAGACCATGTTCTCACACCAGTGGTAGAACGCTTTATGAACCACAAAGATACCTTTATATGGTGATTATGGCAAAAAAATGGACTCATATGGGAAATGTCTCCTTTGCACCAAAACCGTGTAAGTTGATCTAGGGGGGTACGTACGGCCGTTAGTCTGGCTGATTGCTGCACACTATAACTCTCGATGGGAGTAATCGATCTGCTCCAAACCTGCTAACTCATAATAGAATTAGCAAACTTAGATCGAGTTCGGAGATGGGAAATATCGGCCCTGGCCTTGTAGCATCTCCAGAGGTATTCACTTGCCTTATAGGACAAGAAAAAATCTTTAAATTTTGAGCAAAACTTTACAAATACTAATATTTGCATAAGATATAGGTTAGGTGCGAAAATGGATAATATACATAGCTCTACACCATCAAGTACCTCCATCCACAAAGGGTCAGAATTTTGAATAATTTTAATTCTAATAAAATGTGATATAAGAGTCCGATTGTTTGCAAATTACACATATCACAATATTTTTACTAACCCAAGATCTGGTGTGAATATGTAATATATTGGTCCACTCCTTCTGCCCCCCCTCCTACAAAGTGTCCAAATTTTGAATTATCATGAAGCTCATAAAACACGAAATTAACATTAGATTCCATTTCAGACATGGGAAATTTCAAAATTTTTATCAACACAAGATCTGTTATAAAGGTTGTAGAGATCGGACTATTTCTTCTGGAACCTCCGCCACAAAGGGTCAAAATTATCTATAACCAAAACGATTATAAAATACGAAATAAGCATTCTGTTCTCTTCAAGTTTCACACATCCCATTATCTCTACCAACACAAGATCTGGGATATATCGGACCACTCCTTCTGGAGCCTCCCCTACAAAGGGTCCAAATTTTGAATAAACACGACTTTCAAAAAAATCCCAAATTAAAATCCGATTCCACTCAGACTTTCCATATCTAAATATTTCAATTAACACAAGATCTGTTACAAAGATGATAGAGATCGGACCATTCCTTCTGATACCTCCTCCACAAAGAGTCAAAGTTTTGAAGAACCAAAACGATTATAAAATCCGAAATAAGCATCCGATTCTCTTCATATTTCAGATATTCCATTATTTCTACTAACACAATTTCTGATGTGAAGATGAAATATACCAGTCCACTCCTTCGGGTACCTCCCGCACAAAGAGTCAACATTTTGAATACCCTTGAAGGTCATAAAATGCAAAATTAACATCCGATTCCATTTCAGACTTGGTACATCTCAATGTTTCCATTAACACAATATCTGTTATAAAGGTTGTAGAGATCGGACCATTCCTTCTGGTAGCTGCCCCACAAAAGGTCAATGATTTGAAGAACCAAAACGATTATAAAATCCGAAATAAGCATCTGGTTCTCTTCATATTTCTCATATCACATTATTTATACTAAAACTAGATCTGCTGTGAAGATGGAATATACCAGTCCACTCCTTCTGGTACCTCCCCCACAAAGGGTGAACATTTTGAATACCCATGGAGGTCAAAAAATGCAAAATTAACATACGATTCCATTTCAGACTTGGCACATCTCAATGTTTCCTTCAACACAAGATTTGTTATAAAGATGGTAGAGATCGGACCATTTCTTCTGGTAGCTGTCCCACACAAAGTTCAAGATTTGGAAAGCAAAACGCTCTGTGTTAGATGAAGTATGAAAATGGAACTCTTCGGTCGACTATATATGGTACCACACACAGATTTTGACATTTTCCAAAAATTATCCTCTACCTCGTATAAAGTAAAGGAAATAGTCGATATAGTCCAAACCAGGCACCTCGCAATATTTATATCAAATTTACATAAGTCCGATATGAAATGGACAATAATGGCCCATTTTTTGGAACCTACTCCATAGAGAGTCAACAACTTGAATTATCATAACATAATCCAAAATATATTTAAATAATCCAGCATTGGCTGAGGGCATACATCTGACCAACTGATAATTTTTATCTTGTTGTTTTAAAGATAACACAAAATTTATTTAAAGATACATTTCAGTTTTTTTGTTTCACATTAATTCTATTTGATATTCCAATTAGCGTTAAAAATCACATTTCGTATTCACGTTTAAAAAAACTCAAGTACTCAAGTATCTTAAATGTCCCTGATTATACCTCAGGAAATTCGATACTTTTGCCAAAAATACAACAATCATTATGTCTGGCCATCATTTGTTATTTGTACTCCTTTTCGTCTCTCCATCCTCCTCTACATTGTCCTTCCTTTTTTCCCTTATAATTGATTTTCATAGGTACTACGCCAAATTTCATTTTGCTCCTCAATGGCTTGGCCACGTGCCGCCATCTCTTCAGCAGTCAAATGATATTCCTCCTCATCGGCAGTAAAGAGTTGGCGTATGGCATCGGCAAAATGTTTGGCGGTGTCCACCATTGACTGCCACATGTTGGCAAAGGTCTGGGCGATTTGTTCGGCTTTTTCGGATATATGGTCACCGGGAGATTTGGGTCCATCTTCCACTTGCCCGGCAAATGAAGGTATGATTTCGTAGTTTTCGTCATCGTCGGCATAAGTATCACGTCTCAGGCGATGATGACGTAAAATTCTCCTGGGGCCCTTCATCAACAGAGATGATGAGGCGAAATCCGGTTTTATTGCCTTTTTGGAGTTGTTTGTTTTTTTTTTTTGTGTGTTTTGTTTTGTTTGTGGAATGGGATGGGATGTGTAATCCCTCCCCGAAGAAGAGAAAAATGAAGGAAAGGGATAACATTGAAGAAAATTAATGATTTGTATGACACGAAAAAAAGAGAGGCAAAACAATTTCCAAAAATAAATCCTCTTACATACCTTGGGCTTAGTTAGGGCCTCCACCTCCCTTGTCATTAACGCCAGGCAACTTAAAGTCATTATTGTGGAAAACATCAAAAGCATCCATGTTCCATTCAGGGCAATGCTAATTTTTGACATCCTTCTCAAGGGGCTTCCGAACATGATTGCTGACAAATAATAATTGATATTAAAAGTTTTTGTTGTTGTTTATGTTTCTCTTTTTTATGGAGGCTTTTAAATTTATTGAGTTTTTAACCGTTTCCCAATTTCTAAGCCATTTAATTGCCAAGAGCCATTGTTTGCCCATTTATGGCCTTATTTTCTTTGTTTATTTGATATCCTTTTGTTTTTGTTGCTTTCCCCATTAAAAAGCAGAAAATTAACAAAACCAACAACAACAAAAAACAGATTTTCTTTTAAACGCTTATTTATTATTTCCTACCGTTGAAAACTGTTGCTGGAAAATTTTCCAATTGCTAACAAAGCCATTTTCTAACGGGGCTATTATACTTTTGTTGCCTTCAAAAAGGTAGACAATTACTCTTTTTTTGTTGAGTACCCAACCAGGGAGAGAGGGAGAGGGCCCATCTAACATGTTCTATTATCTGTTTGCATTTCATCATCAGCAATAGCATCATCAACAACAACAGCAGCCTGATTATTTGCCTTTGCCGTGTTTGATGTAACGGAAGTGGCCGGAAATGTCGTTTCTTGTTGTTGTTGTTTTTATTGCTGCTGCTGATGTTATTTTTGTTATTTACTCTCTAGGTTGTTATCTTTTAGTGAGACAAACATGCAAAGTTTTGTAGCAAAGTTGGCATATTGTTCAAATAATGTCGTTCGTGTCGGTTGTTAGTTGATGCCAGATATTCGTCGTGATAAGCTCCATCAGCATCAGATGTGGCAGAGCTTTCATTAATATTCATTAAATTAACCTAAATTCGAAATGGCTGTGTTTTGAGCTACTGCGACAATTTTAGGCAGTCAATTTTAGCTAGAAGGTATTCGAATAATTCTAGTAATGATTTTATAAGGTACTAAATAATTCGAAAAGGATGAAAAATATGCAGACTGTCATAAAAAGCCAATGCTTTGTTCTTAAGGGGCCACAACCACATTTTTCCGAATTAATAAATTTTGGTGGACTAAAGTAGCCAAAAGCTAATATAAGAAGTTAAAAATTGTCAGACGATTCTGCCGACAGATGTATACCCTCAGCTAACGTTTGCTTATTTAAATATATATTGACTTCTGTTATGATTATTCAAATTTTAGAGTAGGTTTCGAAGGAATGAACCTATATTGAATCGGACCGGAATAAATATATATAAATATATCATAAATATTGCGACGTGCCAACCTTGGACTACTTTGGTTACTTCCGTCACTTTATACGAGATATGTGATCATTTTTAGAAAATGTTAAAAAGTTCGACCTATTGTAGGGGAGGTACCAAAAGGAGGAGGACAGATATATTCCATCTTAACACCACATCGTGGGTTTATAAAAATATTCAGATGTCTGAAATTTTATAAGAGTTATAATTATTCAAAATGTTGACGCTTTGTGGGTGAGGCACTTCATGGAGTGGACCGATATTATCCATTTTTTCACCTGACCTAGAACTGACACAAATATTGGGACTTGCAAAGTTTGAGCAAAATCGGATTATTGCTTCTCTTTCTGTGCAGAAAATATATATTTTTGAAAATTTCAATCCTTTGTGAGGGAGGTACCAGAAGGAGTGGACCGATGTATGCCATCTACACAAGACCTGGGGTTAATAAAAATATTCGGATCTGTGAAATTTGAAGACAATCGGACCCTTACATCACATTTTATAAGAGTTGTAATTATTTAAAATTTTCACCCTTTGCGGGGAAGGTACTTAATGGTGTGGACCGATATTGTCCATTTTCGCACCTGACCTAGCATTGATGCAAATATTAGGATTTGCAAAGTTGGATTATCGTTTCTCTCTCTGTACACAAAAAAAAATATTTTTTTTTTTTTTGAAAATTTCGACCTTTTGTGGGGGAGGTACCAGAAGGAGTGGACCGATATTGCCCATCTCCGAACTCGATCTAAGATGGACAAAAATATTAAGATGTGCAAAAGTTTGGACTAGATCGGATACTCTCTTCGAGAGCTATCATGCGTACCAGACAGTCAGACAGACAGACGGACGGACATCGCTAGATCGACTTCAAATGTCCTGAGAGATGAGATTCATGATTTAATATGAGATTCATGGAATGACGAACTTAATATTCCGTCCATACTATGTTTGGGAAGGGTATAAAAACAGAAGAAATGAAATTGAATTCTCATCCACATTTTTGGACATATTAGGATTAAATTCGTTTATTTTTGGGCAAATTAAAATTGGAGGATTATTTTGATCAAAAAAATTAATTCTCGTGTTAAGAAAGGAATCTTTTTGGTCCCATTTTGAAATTATGGTTAAAAAATCTTTTTAAACGGGATCGTAGCAAGTGAAAAAGTTCTACAAAATGTATTGTCATCAAATTCTACTCTAGGCTACTTTATGTTAATTCATGAAAAAATCACCAAAATAGCATCATTTTAGAAGAATAATGCCAAAGGCATAAATATTCTTCATCGAATTTCACTAAGGGTCACCAAAGAAACAAAATGCCTATTTTCATTATATGTCCGGAAAATGTTTGCATCAATGTTGCCAACAAAGCGGAAAACTATTTTCTATTTTTTTTTTTTTTTTTGATCAACTTTTTTCAGACTTTTTTTGAGTTTACGCCTGAAAGTAATATAAAATTTTATTTTATGCAGGAGGTATCAAAAGAAGAAATATTCTACACAAAATTTCAGGATAATTCTCAGACTAAATAACATATCTACGTATTATAGTTTTTTAAAAAAATGACATTCAAATTTGACATATTACAAGCGGTAGGTATGAGTTTACGGTTTTTACTGCTAATATAACACTTTTCCATTCTAAGTCAAAATCTCCCTTAAAACTTCACTTTTTTGGAAAAATGTCAAAAGGATAAATATTCTAGATTAACTTTCATTAAGAGTCTCCGAACAGAAGAAATTTGTATACTTAATATACCATTAAAAATGTCATCAGTTTTGGTAAAAATAACCCTTTTTACTTTCGACAAACTTAAGTTGCAAGTAGAAGTAATGTGTTTACGTTTTTTACTGTTCATTTCACGCGTTTCAATTTTAAGTCAAAATCTCTCTTAAAACCTCATTTTTTGGGGAAAGTATAAAGGGAAGAAATATTTTAAATCTAATTTCATTGTGGGTCTCCGAACAAAAGAAAGTTGTATACTTAAAACGAACCTTGGAAAAATGTTATTTATTTTGCTTAAAAACACCCTTTTATTTTGGGCAAATTTAACACCTTTTCCAAATTCGCTGCAAATTTTCTTATAATTTCACTATCTAACAGCTAGTCTGGGTTGTGTATTTGGCCTATTGACCGAAGAACCTCAAAAAAATCTTACTACATATCATAAAAGAAATAAATTATATTTCCATTTTTATCAAGAAAATAGTTGTATCAGAGCTTTCCTAATATTTCCTAATTTTTTAATCAGTTTTTCCTTCGCTTTTAACTATTTATTGCCTGAAAGCAATATAAAATGCCGTTTTTGGCAGAAAGTTTCAAAAGAGGAAATATTCTACATAAAATTTTACTCAAATTCTCAGATTAAATAATATACCTAGGTATTATAGTTTTGAAGAAAATGACATTCGAATTTGACATATTACATGTGAAAAGTATGTGCTTACGTTTTTTAATGCTAATTTAACACTTTTCCATTCTAAGCTAAAATCTCCCTTAAAACTCCATTTTTTTGGGGAAAGTGTCAAAGAAAGAAGTAATCTTCGTCAAATTTCAATATAAGTCACCGAAAAAACGAAATCTCTGTATCCATTATATATCAAGAAAATCTAAGCATCAATGTTTGCCAAAAAATACGCGAAAATATTTCCAATTTTTTGTATCGATTTTTTCTCGGCCGTTTTTCGAGTTGAAGCCTGAAAATGAAATAAAATTTATTTTTTGGCAGAAAGTGTCAAAGAAAAAAATATTCTACAAAAAAATTCACTACAAATCTCAGACTAAAAGATATATCTAGGTATTATAGTTTTGAAGAAAATGAAATTCGAATTTGAATCATGAAAGTATTAATATATGTGTTTACAATTTTTATTTCAAATTTAACACTTTTCCATTCTAAGTCAAAATCTCCCTAAAAACTCTATATTTTTGGGAAAGTGTCAAAGAAAGAATTATTCTTCATCAAATTTCCCCATAAGTCAACAATGAATCGAAATCTCTGCATCCATTATATATCAAGAAAATGTTAGCATCAATGTTTGCCAAAAAAAAAAACTCGAAAATAATTAGAAAACTTTTTATCAATTTATTCTCGGCCGTTTTACGAACTGAAAGCGTCAAAAAATTTCGTTTTTAACACAAAGTGCCAAAGGATGAAATATTCAGCACAAAATTTCACCATAAATCTTAGAATAATCGAATAATTCTAGGTTTAATAGTTTTGAAGAAAATTACATTCTAATTATTTGATTTTTTGGACTTTAATAAATTAATTCCAATATAAAATTTTTAAATTTATAAATAGGAAGTCCAAAGTCATTGATTTATTTTTTTACAAATAAATTCCAATTCTCGTTAAATCAGTGCTACATACCAACCTAAAATATCCCTAAAAAATAAAACGAACTCCCGACTATTGTTGACAAAATCTTCATATGTATTAGCCATTCGCAAAATGTACAAAATATTACAGAGAAAATACTCTAAATTTCCCCCGTTTCACCACCGCCATCGCCTCCACTGCCACCAGCTCCCGACGTGTTACCAGCAAATGCCTGCTTAACCTTCTGAGCTATTTGATTCATAGAATTGGCAAAACTCTCCCAAGCACTGCGCACCGTCTCGGCAAATTGTTGGGCATGCTGTGATATATCTTTGCCACTCTTATTCATATTATCGCCTAAATCCTCAATTTCGGTTTGACGTTTACGTCGGGAAGCAGTTGACACAACCCCGGCATCATCTTCGCCTCCAACAATGCCCTTCTTCGTTTTACGTGTGGTTTTCTTTCCCGTTGTACGGGATTTTTTACGTTGTTGGGCCGCCTTGCGTCTGCGGGCAGCCATTTGACGGCGTCGTCTTTCAATGTCGAAAACGTCATCGTCAATGCCATCACCACCGCCTCCGCCACCAGTACCACCGCCGGTGCCACCACCTCCATTTCCAGCTCCCCCACCTACTGTACCGCCACCAGTTCCACCACCTGTTCCCGTACCTCCCCAACTAAAGCAGGGTGCCCGCTTAGAACGATGATGATGAGGTAACGGCATAAGAGCCTCCAATTCATACAGCGACTCCAAAGCCAGTTCATTACTTAAGCTTAGGGAACGTTTACGTCTTCTGCGATCTTCTTCCGAAGAATCGGAAACCCTTTGTTGCCTAATGGCTTCACCAAAACCAGCCTCCTGTTTGGAGTGTACCTTGGCAAATGGTATCTCAAAGCCATTGTCATTTTTCAGAGCTCCACCATTCGACATCATTTCCGCAGCCTGACCCGCCATTTGGACGGCTCCCATTGCCACACTTTCAAAGAAGTCCTAAAGCAAGGGAGATAGGAAATCAAAAATATTACAAAACAGTACACTGGGCGACAAAATTCGCTTTTTAAGTAATTTCAGACAAAATTCAGCAGATTATGAAAGTACAACTAAAAATAGAAGATACGTGTACCGGCGTTACTCCTAAAAATAACCTAAATAGAGGGGGCATCTTCAACACATTTCGAAGTTTTCGGATTATATGGAGTCTTCAACAATATTGCAGATACAATTTCAAGGATTAATTAGGACATAAATCCTCCATTAACCCACACGCGGATCACCAAATCTGTCTCTTTGATCCATTTTTTTTTATTAAATTTTAAAAACTCCCTTAAAATACGAACGTATTAGGTCAAAATATTCTACAAAATTATTTGTCATGAAATTCCCAAAAAACGCTCAAAGTCGCTATCATACCTACACGCCAGGAGAGCATATACAGGGTGAGATAAAAAAAATGCAGCAAAGTCAAACCCCATAATTTTTAATTTTTTTTTTAATTTTGTTGAATGAAAGCAAAAAATGTCGGAAATAACATAAAATTTTAGAAAAAGTTTAGATTTGTTCGAATTGCTCACCTTTGGCACGAATTATGGCCTTCAAACGGTATTTTGGCCCATTCCCGGCGAAGCGCTTCCTTGAGGTGATCGACACTTTGGTACTTTTTAGTGCCAACCTTGCATTCCAAAATACTCCAGACACAATAGTCCAACGGACTGGTATCCGGAGATTTTGGTGGCCATTGTGCGCTGAAAATGAAGCGAGAAACCGGTTTTTTTTTTGGAATGTCCAAGGTCTACGGCCAAAGTGCTTGCGTGCCCAAAGCTTTAATACACCCCCCAGAACATTTTCGCGATAATATTCGGCATTTATTTTGATGTCACGGTCGATTAATACGAGCGAAGAGCGACCATCGGCTGTTATGATGGCTCGCACCATCACGATGGCCGGCGCTTGAGTTCTGGTGGCCACCCGAAGGTGAACATTTTCAGCTGACTTCTTTGGCAAGTAAGCACGATCATTTGTTTGTTTGCAAACTGCTGGACAACGAATGTTTTCTCAATGGAGCGGAGAAAACCAAATTCGGCAGTTCACCATTTTCTGCCAAGCGAAGTAACTCTTCAGTTCGTTTGAGTCTATTTTCTTTCTGTTGCGGTGTAAGTTCTTGCACTTTTTGGAATTTCAATGGCCTTACCCCGAGCTCATTTGTCAATATTTGCCAAATGAAATATTGCGATATGTTCAGCTCACGAGCCATTTTTTGGCCATTGCAATGCGGGTTTCGACCAAGTCGCTTTTCGAAACATTTCAATCTGAAGTTACTTTCTGTTTTTTCATCTCACCCCGTATATTTAGCGTCAACGGGTTCTGAGAAAATTACCTTCGAACCTTACATAATACAATTGATAATTACGTGTTTATAGTTTTTACTGATAATTTCCATTCTAAGTCAATATCTCCCTTAAAACCTATTTTCTTGGGGAAATTGTCAAAGGAAGAAATATTCTGGATCAAATTTCATAGGGAGTCTTTGAGCAAAAGAAATTGGTATACCTAATATTTACCATGGAAAAATATCAAAAAATTTTGTTCGTCAAGAAAAAATTTTAATTTCGACAAATTTAACACTTTTTCCGAATTCGTCGCAAATTCTCTTATAATTTCAATATCCAATTGCCACTCTGGGCTGAGGTACATTCCAAAAGGATTCAATAGTACTTGGTTTTTAGATCAAAACTCCAAAAATGAGTCTCCTAGTGGGAAGAGAAGTGAAAATTATGTGTTTACATTCTGTACTGCTAATTTAACACGATTCCGTTCTAAGTCAAAATCTCCCTAAAAACCTAATTTCTAGGGGAAAGTATCAAAGGTAGAAATATTCTAGAGCTAATTTCATTGTGAGTCTCTGAACAAAAAAAAAATGGTATTCCTTATATTTGCTAAAAAAAATCGCAAAAATGTTGGTTGTTATAAAAACCTTATTTTCGACTAATTTAGCACTTTCACCGAATTCGCCGCAAACTTTTTTAAAATTTCCCGGCCTCGGACTTTTAAAATTCCAAAAATCGGTAGATATACTCTAATTCAAATCCATCTCAGTAGGAATAACCCCTTTTCTACATCCTTTATTCCCCTTTTTTGTGGTTCCACTTTGCCACCTTTTTTTTTCCAGGAACATCACAACAGATTAATCAATCATACACCAACACATGTTCACAAACTAAAAAATTCTATTTATTCTTACCTGTGGTCTGCCATCGGCCGCCCGCAGACACACCACTGTCATATATATCATTGCAATTTTTAATGCATTTCTATGAATTTTAATTAATAAACCAAATTTGCAATTATACATAATTGCAGTTAGTTTAGGTAAACCGCCAAGCCGCCAAAAATAAATCAGTAATTCTCGAAATTCCACTTAATTTTCAATATCAATGTCAATTGTTATAATTGACTGTGTGTGACTGTTTTCGGACGAATGAAACATTTTGCAGTCGCATCGAACATTATATAAAACTATTTAACAATTAAAAATTAGTTCGGCGTTTTCATTACAGGGTATTTATTATTAAAATAATTACGTTTTTTTCGCTCTCTTCAAAAAAAAACAAAAATAAAAAATAAAAAAAATACAGAAGAAAATACATTGCATGTTTCTGCAGGCATGCAATACTCGGTTTTTGTTTTTCGATAAAAATCTCAAAAAATGCATAGGCTAGCCGCAAAAATTATAATTATTTATGTAGATGAAATTTTGCAATGCTCTTTTTATATGGGTTTTTAAATGGAAATTGTCCATTTTAATTAAATAAAACAAAATGGATAATAATTAGTTGTTTTAAACAGGGCTATAATCCAAAAAAACAGTCTTTATGATACCCTACACCATTTCCATATTGAATTTAAATTCGAAATCAGCAAAAAACGTAAAAATATATTTTTCACTTTTAATATATAAATTTCTTAAAAACGGTTAATTTTAGGTATATAATTTATTCTGAGACTTATAGTGAAATTTTGTGTAGAATATTTCTCCCTTTGATAATTTCTGTCTGAAATGTACTCTTATACCACTTTTACGCATCAACTCGAGAAACGCCGGGGAAAAAATGACTTGCAAATATGATAATACGATAATATGACTTTTATGTATATAATGAATTTTTTTTTTGTTCAGAGACTTACATTGAAATTCGATTTAGAATATTTCTTCCTTTGACACTTTACCCAAAGAATGAAGTATTACGGGAGGTTTTGACTTAGAATGGCGAAGCGTTAAATTAACAGCAAAGAAACGTAAACACATAATATTCTGTTTTAATATATACATTTCAAATGTAAATATCTGAAAAAACTGTTATACCTACATATGTGCGTAGAACATATCTTCTTTTAATAATTTGTGTGTAAAAGGAAATCCTACGTTACATTTATGCATAAACTCAAAAGAATGCAGGAGAAAAATTGATTAAAAAATTAGGAAATATTTTAGCGTTTTTTGGCAAACTTTTTTCAGGTATATAATGAAAATACAGATTTCTTTTGTTCAGAGACTTATATTGAAATTCGATTTAGAATATGTCTTCCTTTGACACTTTGCCCAAAGAAGTTTTTACGCGAGTTTTGACTTAAAATGAAAATGTGTTATAAAAACAGTAAAAACGTTAACATTTCATTTTCACTTGTAATAACTGAATTTCAAATGAAAATTTCTTAAAAACTGTTAAACCTAGATATATAGTTTATCCTAAAATTTATTGTGAAATGTTGTGTGGAATTATTCTACCCTTAACAACTTCTGTCTAAAATGAAATCCTACGTTACTTTTATGCAATGACTCGCAAAAAGCCAGAAAAATATTCAAAATTTAAAAAAATATGTTGGCAATTTTTTGGCAACATTGATGCAAAGTTTTTCTAGGTATATAATTGAAATAGAGATTTCTTTTGCTTGGAGACTTACTTTGAAATTTGAAGTAGAATATTTCTTCCTTTGACACTTTCCTTAAACAATGAAATATTAAGGGAGATTTTGACTCAGAATGAAAACTTGTTAAGTTAGCAGTAAAGAGAGTAAACGCATAATTTTAGTAGTAAAATATAAATTTCTAATGTAGTTTTCTTAAAAACTATTAAACATAGGTGTATCATTTATTCTGAGATTTATAGTAAAATTTTGCGAGAAATATTTCTTCTTTTGACAATTTCTGTCTAAAACTAAACCCTATGTTACATTTATGCGTTTTTTGGTACTATTGATGACCTTTTTTCTAGGTATACCGGGTGAGATAAAAAAAAACCACAACAAAGTCAAACGCCATAATTTTTAAATTTTTTTAAATTTTATTGAATGAAAGCAAAAATGTCGGAAATAGCATCAAATTTTAGAATTAGTTTAGATTTGTTCGAATTGGTAACCTTTGGCAAGGATTATGGCCTTCAAACGGCCAATGAAATCGTCACACGTTGCCCGAATGTTGTTCTGCGGTATTTTGGCCTATTCTCGGCGAAGCGCTTACTTGAGGTGATCGACACTTTGGTATTTTTTAGTGCCAACCTTGCTCTCCAAAATACTCCAGACACAATAGTCCAAGAGATTGGTATCCGGAGATTTTGGTGGCCATTGTGCGCTGGAAATGAAGCGAGGAACCTCATTTTGTAACCATTCTTTGGTGGCACGTACTGAATGCGATGGTGCTGAGTCCTGTTAGAATGACCAAGGCCTGCGGACAAAATGTTTGTGTGCCCAAGGCTTTAATACACCCTCCAGAATATTTTCGCGATAATATTCGGCATTAATTCTGATGCCACGGACGGCTAATGCGAGGGGAGAGCGACCATCGGCTGTTATGGCAGCCCACAACAGAACCATGACCGGCGCTTGAGTTCTGGTGGCCAACCAAAGGTGCACATTTTCAGCTGACCTCTTTGGCAAGTAAACACGATCATTTTGTTTGTTTACAAACTGCTGGACAACGAATGTTTTCTCATCTCCCATCGGAGAATACCAAATTCGGCAGTTCACCACTTTCGGCCAAGCGAAGCAACTCTTTAGCTCTATTGAGTCAATTTTATTCCCATTGCGGTGTAAGTTCTTGGAATTTCAATGGCTTTACCCCCAGCTCATATTTCAATATTTGCCGAATGGGATATTGCGATATGTTCAGCTCACGAGCCATTTTTCGGCTCCTACGACACGGGTTTCGATCAAGTCGTCGCTTCTTTACTTTTCGAACCATTTCAGCTAATTTTGCCGTTTTTCTTCCGTCGTGTTACGCTACCAGTATCACGGTAACAAGCGATGGTACGAGACACAAAATGCTGGAGTGCTCTAACGATAGCCACTTGTGGTTTTCCAGACAAAAATATGGAGAAATCTCACTATCACGCTTGAATTCCATCACGAATAACTTTTTTTCTGGAAAATTCTCACCAAAATGCTTTTGTACGCTTGTAAATAATATGAGGAGCTGTCACTGGAACAGCTGTCGGCGGAGTGGCATAGAAATTACAGCAGTCTGAAGTTGGTTGCAGTTTTTTCATCTCACCCTGTAATTGGCTTCTATTTTACTCAATAGATTTAGGTTTAAAATTAAAGGCTGGATTTTTGGATTTTTATACTGTCTTCGTATATCCCCCACATAACTGGGCCTCCCGATATTGGGTATTTTCAAGATTTTGGCGGCATTGTTCTTTCGAATTGTTTCAAATTTCGTATTCGAAGTTTGCAATGTGTACTATAGCCTGTGCCTAAAAAATTCGAATGCAAGTCCATGTCTTTGTAGAGCCCCCGTATAAAGGTATAATGACATTTTTCGTCATGTTTTCAAGTTCCTTCCAAATGGGAGAGGGTATTAAAAGCTTGGCCCGGCTGAATTTTGCTACTTTTTACTTGTTTTGTTATACCCTCAGCCATATGGCTAGAGATCATTTGATACGGCCAAAACTTGCCTCATCACAATAATAATTTTAGACCCTAGGTATATTTGGGGCAAATCTGTTTCAGGAAATTTGGAGTGAACCTAAAGGTAGGTGTCCATCCGTCCATCTGTCAGGATGAAGTTGTTTGCAGTTTTGACCATATATAAAGGGGCCCCTATAGTTTCAGATATATTTCGCAACAACAAAATAACAAATCGGATGAACAATATATATGGGAGCTATAGCTATATCTGAACCGATTTCGATCCAATTTGGCATACTTATTTTCAGGTCCAATCTGATCGTACGTGCAAAATTCCATACTATTCGGACGAATATATATATGGGAGTTATATCAAAATTTTGACCGATTATCTCCAATATCAATAGGGTTCGTCCTTGGACCAAACAAATGATTTGTGCAAAATTTCATCTGGATAGGGCAATAAATGCGAACTGTACTTTGTTGACAAAAATACATGGACAGACGGACGGACATTATCAATTGACTGAGATTGTGATTCTATGCAGATCATCAAAAGGAACTATGGGTCTATCTCGTTTCCTTTTGCCAGTTACAAACAAATGCACAAAGACATATAACCCTGACCACCTTGTGGTGTAGGGTATAATGAAGTTGTGTAATATTGACTCCCCGAAACGGTTTCGAAATGCTTTGTTTGATAATTCGCTCCTAACCTATATTACCTAAATATCTAAATATAGTTTCGGTTCACTCTCTCTCTCTTCCGTTTTACTTTTTTCACATTTATTTATTTATTTATTTTATTTTTTTTTTTTTATTTTTTTTATTTATTTATTTTTTTTTTTTTTGTAAAAATATTGAAAGTTTCGTTGTTACCACTGAAGTAGTGCCGTTTTGAAATTAAGGAAACCCAGGCTTAAATAATCCACTTAAAATATTTTCCATGCTAAAGGTTATTTTATCTCAAAATACTTGCTGGGATATTGCCAATAATTTCATAGCAGGCCTCAAAAAAATTTCCGGATTTCAAAAATTAAAAAATTGCAATTTATTTATTTGTGTAATTTTAACAAAATTGTTGGTGTTTCGTTCTTATTTTTAAATTATTTGTCAAAAAATTGTTTTTTTTTTTTTTTTTGTAAAAATCGCAATGTATCAAACCAAGGCAATGCATGGGCCATCAAAGATGATAGCAAATGCTTTACCAGGAAAATGTTGTTTCGCAACGGTACGAGGAAAACACAATAGACCACAAAAAAATAAAAATACCCATTAAAGACAAAATTTCTAATCGCCACTTTTCCCCTCTTCCTTCTCTTTGCAGTACACCTCCTTGGCTGCTAACCAACAGCAATATCAACAACCTCAATTTGGAGCCGGCGCTGCCTATGCCCAACAATTGCAACAGCAACAACAGGCGACCCAATATGCCAACTACGCCGCTGCTGGTGCCGTTCCTGCTCAGGCTGCTGCCTATCAACCCAATCAATATGCTCAGACTTTGCAACAATTGCAACAACGTCAACAATACGCTGCCCAGCAACCTCAATATCAACAACAATTGGCCGCTCAACAAGCCCAACAACCCCAAGCCCAACAGCCACAGGCTCAATATTCCCCCGATCAATACAATGCTTATTATGCTTATCAGCAACAACAACAAGCTCTTGCCCAGCAACAATTGGCCCAACAACAACAACAGCAGCAACAACAACAATTGTACTATGCCCAACAACAACGTGAACTGTTGAAACAACTCTACAGCAATCAACCCGCTGCCCAACAACAACAAGCCGTTGCTCAACAACAACAACCTCAAGCCAATCAATACTACACCGCTGAACAGTATGCCGATTATTTGAGCAAGCAACAAGCTGTCCAACAACAAGCTGCCCAACAACAACAATACCAGCCCACTAACTATGCCACAGCTGCCACCGTTGCTACTCCCACCACCCCAGCCACCCATACCCAGGCCTATACCACTTCTGCTGCCCCCGTCGAAGCCTCACCCGTTCCACCTCGCAACGGTTTGGAAAGTGGCCAATACTCACCCTCCGATAAGGTCTCGTCCGTCAAATTCCAAAGCGGCAATTTGGCCTACAATTTCTAGGGAGCGACAGTAACCCAATAACTAGAAAAGGCATTGTAACCACCAATGGAGAGAGACAGAGAGAGAGCGAGAGAGAGTTCTTTTTACTAATTACCCATCTTGTAAGGAGAGGTAATTAGTGTCAACTGCTCTTAGGGCATACACCTCGTTCAGTTCGTGGCATAGTTTTGACCTGGTGGTTACAATGTGTGGTCGTTCTCCCTTCCTTTTTCGTAACTCAGTTGAATGCCAATGTCTAGTGTTTTGTAGATGTCCTACTTTTTATTTCAAAATTTTTATGCCATTTTCCTATTTATCATTTTCATCCCCTCAATCATTTGCAGCCCCTTTATTGGCCCAAAAAATATCTCATTTAGTTAAGTTAAAATTATTTTTATGAAGAACAATAAAATTGAAAAAAAAAAAAACAATATTTAATTTTGTTTTTATTATTGGATTTCTGGTACTGCAGGCCATATAGGTCCACGTTTATGTATAGCCCCATATAAGTGTACTGCCAAATTGAAGGTATTTTGGTTGTTGTAGTCATAATTTTAATCCAAATCTGCTGTAAATTGGCAGTTTGTGTTAGCAGTATGTAATAATATTTGGAGAGAGTTGTCTATATATGTTTTGGTATTTGGTGTAGGCCCCACATAACGTTATCTACTCATATTAGGTGTTTTAACGATTACCAAACCTTCGCATAGCCTCCATAACCTCCTGATATACGATATTTCACCAATTTAGAATTATTTCCTATACATTTTTAAAAGCAATTTCTTCAAATTTGGTATTTGGAGTTCGCAATGGGTAACACTTCGTATATCAGAAAATTACTTATAAAAATTACATATCCACATGATGGTACCTTCAGATTTTTAATTTTTGGCACATTTTCATTGGAATTAAATGGAATTAAAATTTAAAGTTTGCAATAAGCCTTATCTAGCAGTGTAGTCATGTATAGAAGTTTTTAGAACCGTTAATAGCCCTATGGTCTAAATAACTATAAATAAATAATTGGGAATGCAGGTTACGTCTTCGTTTAGTCCCCGTATAACTCTACCACCCAATATTCGGTATTTTGATAGTTTTAGAGGCTTTTTTCTCCTCGAAATTTCTAATTACCAGGACATAATAATTGCGATTTTATAAAATATTTCTTTCAAGGAAATTGTAATAAATTTCATTTGTTTCAAAGTAACATTTTTTTAAGATTTAAAAATTATAGTTGTTTCAAGGACTCAATTTTTTTTAAAGCTTATTCAAGGAATGTGATTTTTTTCTCCTCTTTTTGAGGGCAAAGAATTTTTTTTTTTGTCAAAATATCGTGTTATTTCTAAATATTTTTTACGGATAACAATACGAGGATTATTTTAACTATTAAGCGAGTCAAAAAGAGGTCTTTATGGTCCTTGCTCGAAAATATCGTTAAAAACTCCTTTTACATTCTACAAAATTATTTCCCATCTAATTCTGCTTTAAAATCCAGAATGCGTCAAAAGTCCTAACAAAAATATTCCCAAAAAATCAAAAATAATTTCAATTTTTGTTATCAATTTTCTTTGGTGTTTTTTTCAGTTGACACCTGAAAGTCGCATAGAATTTTGTTTTATACAGAAGGTGCCAAAAAATATTTTACACAAAATTTTACTATCGTTCTTAAGAAAATTGCATTTGAAATGTATGCACCATTAGTGAAAAATATGTGTATGCTTTTTATACCCTCAGCCTCATCGAAATAACGGTTTTAGACCCTAGGTCTCCAATATAGCGATGTCCGTCCACCCATCTGTCTGCTTGGTTGGTGCGCACGATAACTCTCGAAGGGAGTATCCGATTTAGTCCAAACTTAGATCGAATTTGGAGATGGGCAATATCGGTCTACTCCTTCTGGTATCGCAATTTAAACAAAAAAAAAATATTTTACTGCCCAGAAAGAGAAAGGATAATTCAATTTTGCTCCAATCTTGCAAACACTACTACTTGTATTAGTACTAAGTCAAGTCCACTCTATTAAGTACCTCCCCCACAAAGGGTCAAAATTTTGAATAATGAAGAGATGTAAGAGTCTGACTGTCTTCAAATTACACACATCACAATATTTTTATTAAGCATCTGTCTGGTGTAAAAATGGAATATATCGGTCCACTCCTTCTGGTACCACCTCCACCATAGGTAAACATTTTGAATACCCATTAAGCTCATAAAACGCGAAACTAACACCGATTCTATTCAGGCGTGGTACATCTCAATATTTCCATCGACACACGATCTGTTAAAAAGATGGTAGAGTTCGGACTATTTCTTCTGCTGCCCCACAAAGAAAGCACATGTTAACATTTTCTAAAAAATATCACATATTTCATATAAGGTTAAGGAAGTAGCGAATATAGACTAAAACTGGCACGTCACAATATTTATATCATATTTATTTAGGTAACTACGAAATGAACAATATTGGAGATTTTTATTTAAACTCATTTTAAGTATGGCCTTAACCCTAAAATTTTATTATTTTAAATATATAAGTATTTGACATCAAATAGAATTTGTGTAGAATTTTATTACAAATAATTTTGTAGAATATTTTGACTTGCTACAACCACTCCTAAATGGAAAAGCACAATAAAAACGCACTAGATGACTCGCTAAAGAGTTTGGATTTTCGACAAAAGAAAACCTCGTGGATGACATTCCCATTCTAAGGACATTCCATTCCAAGCAATTTTATTTCAAAAATTTAAAAAAAAATGTGAAGATGAGATTTTTTTTTGATTTTTTAGTTTAGCTTGCGATGTTAACTTCAAACATTTCGAAACATATGACGTCTATTTTTATACACTCCACCATTCTATGAAGGGTATATCAACTTTGTCTTTCCGTTTGAAATTCCTCGAAATACTCATGTTAGACCCTACAAAGTATAAAAATCAGGATCAGCGTAAAATTCTAAGTCGGTTTAGTAATGTCCGTCTGTTCGTTATAATTAAGTTTTCTTTCGAATGAATTGAGATATAAGGCTACGATTTTGCACATTTGTGTACATTGACAATTGGCATGTTGAATTCGTAAATGATCCATCAGTCCATGTCTTCGTATATCCCACATATAACGGTACCTCCCGATATTCGTTATTTTGATGATATTAGCGAAATTAACCAACGAAATTGTTTCAAATTTCGTACTTAATGGCCTATGATAAACAAGTAAGAAAACGCTATAGCCGTGCGGGGCCGACCATGTGATACCCTACAACACTACAATTTTGGAAGAATCCGCTTTTGATTATGTCATAGAGCATTACCCTTAGCTTTTTGTCCAGTGGTATTTGAAAATATTGCACACTCCATCTGTTGAGTTGTTGTGGTCCATTTTACAGCTAAATATAATCCAATGGTCATCCAAAATGCTAGAATTCTTCTCTGTCCTTAACTCTCTTCTCAGGCAAAATTTCGTGTCGATTGGTTTCAGTTGTGTGATCAGGAATTTTTTTATGTTTTTGATTCATTTGAACCGCAAAAGCAATATCTTCAAATTTAGACTCATCTATATGATTTGCTTGTCTACGATATTTGGCTATATTCGTTAACAAAATCAACATAAAAAATCTCAGAAGTTCGCCTTTTGTGTATTTCGGATATCGCCTGTAAGTAATTCTGGTATTATTTCACACAAAAGTAGTGGTCCATTCAACCCGCTGTTCTAAACCCTAACTTCATCCTTTGTTTTCTATTTGTGACCTTTATAACCAGGAACTTTTTCAGTTGTCAGGAACTTTTTCAATTGTTGGTCCATTTCAACCCCTAATATATTGCGGACATCTTTGAAAACAATAGGCCTAGCCCTTCTGAGCCTAATCCTACCCTTGTGAAAATTTTCGTAAGGATCGGACGATATTTGCAATACTTATATAATATCCCCAACCTGTGTTGTAAGGTGAAAAAATATTACAAAATATTATAAGTTAAATTGGAAAAATCGCATGCGACAAAAAGAATGAAAAAAAATCACAAAATACTACAAAATCTATATTACCATTATTATTGGCTTCTTTTTATGCGATTTTTTAGATTTTATACTTTTATACAAAGAGGGCATTCTGAATTGACAAAATTTGACAAAATCGGTTCAGTCATTCCCGAGATATAAGCATTCTAGCTATCATCCCCTTCCTTTGTATATACATATTGTATATATTATGCTATTTATATCCGATATATTCAATACCGGCATCTACGTACCGGTCAGAATTGACCTTTTCGTCTATTTGTGATTTCGCCGGGATTAAAAATATTTAGTGGAAAATATGACTTTTATGACCCACTAACTATTAACCGATGACCATCTAAATTGGAAGGCTTCTGCCTAGCCTTAAGCTCTAGCCCCATGCTAACTTCCACTTCGATTGGTCTATAATTGCGACTTATAGAGCAACGGCAAAATTAGGAAATGTTTCAGTTTTTGGTCCATTTCAACTGTAAATATCTATTTTCTATTTAGGGTCAAAACCCTAACCCCACCTACATTTTCAATTGCGTGAGAATCGGGCCTGTAGAGTGATTACAAATTTACATGGACAGACGGACGGACATACATAGCTAGATCGACTCATCTCGGCGAGATAGGAAAATTCATACATACTTTCCTATGTGGGAAACCAATATTTCGAGGTGTTACATAATTTTTGGCTCAATCAAACCTATAATACCCCCAACACATAGTGTTGTAGGGTATAAATATGGAAGGTTGATTCTGATATACCCTACATGATACTTTTTTGTTCTACATTCCAGAATATTAAAAAGAAGTTAAGTTGCCTAGCAAAATAAAATACTTTTAAATATACGTTTTATTTTTCTTTGGCAAAGCTATAAATATTGCCATTGCATTTGATACAACACGTTTTCCCCAAAAGAATTCTTTGAATTATGGTTTCGGTTATTTTGGATCAGTGCCAAAAATTTTTTTCAAAAAGAGTCAAAAAACGAGGACGACAATTCCAAGAATTGCAAAATGCACATTAA